AATTTAAATCATTTTTTTATTTAATATAAAAAAATTATAAAGATTGATTAAAATTTGAATTAGAAGCAATTATTGATTTTTATATTGAGATACAAATCTTTTGCACCAATCTATATTATATTAAGAATTTATATAAAATAAAATTTTATTATTTTTTAAAGATTATAAAAATAAAATAAAAAATATAAATATTATTTTTAAGAAAAATATAATATTAAATAATAATTGGCTAACTATTATAAAAGAAATTTACCAAAATATTAAAAAATAGTTATTAAAATTAAATATTTAAAAACTTTTGAAATAAATATTAAAAATATTGACTAATTTTCTTTTTATTACTATTATATATATAATTTCATTTTTTACTGATGAAATTAAAACTTCATGTAAATTATAAATTATTTTTTGCAAATTTTCAGATTTAACACCTATAAAAGTATAATTATTCATTATAATTGTTAAATTAATAATTTTTAAAAAGTTTTCTTATTTAAATAATAGTTAAAACAATAAAATTTTAAGAGATAATTTAAAAATTAATAAAAAAATTAAATAAAATAACAAATTTCTTTATAAATTCAAAATAAAAAATTTATTATATTTTTATTATATTTTAAAGAGATTTTTATTAAATTTATCCTTATTTTTTAAGTTATATTTGACTTTAAAATAATTAAATATACAGACGTACTACTTTATTAGCTAAAATAAAAATTTGCAATAATTACACTTTGATTTTTTTTAATTCCATTAAATGTAAAGTGTTTCTAAATCTAACTATGCTATCTATTAAAATAATCTGCAGTTTTCTTTTCTTGATTATTACTATTCTCTAAAATTTCATTATCACTATCATTAATTATTATAAGATTTAAATTATGAAAAATAATAATTTAAAATTCAAACATAACGAAATTACAAAATAATTTAAATATTGATTTATAAAATTCAATAAATTCAATTTAAAAAGTAAATTATTTAAAATGATTACTTATTATAATTGATGATTAATCATATTAATTGATAATTAATTATTGTGATTCGGATAATTATCATTATCGAATCCTAATTTTGTTTGATTTTTTGTTTATTAGATTTTTTGATTTAGCTTTATTGTATCGTTTGTTAGTAAATTTGTAAATTTGAATTAAAGTTATATTTATAGTAATTTATTATTAATTTGCTTTATCTTTGTTCTTGAATTTCTTTATTTTGATTGCAAAATCTTCTGTAAGATTCATTAGAATCATAATAGTACCCCACTTTGTATAAATCGTTCAATGTAGTCTCGATCATTGTTATATAGTCAACTAACTTTTGAATTGGATATAATAATCTCTTATTAATCTTTTTAAAATTGCAAAATTTTTTATGTAAGTTCTGTTGGATGATACAAATCCTTAGGGATTACATGTATATTTCTCAGTTGTGAAAAATTGGTTACGTTGAAGTTTATCACCTGTTTTGGCACCTCATGTGAGTAATCATGATGAAAATGGATCATGGTGAAAATTCTGGCCAGAATTTTGCAGATCTGTAGACCATAACTATCATAATGCATGTATTGTTTATCGTAACGCTTTATTTTTCAAATTATACATGTACTTGCGATAAATAATATCAATTATTTTTCAGGCTTCTGTATGAAATAAATCTTAAATTAATATAATAATTGCTTAAATTTTAGTATACTTGTTAGTCAGAAAATTATAAATTAAAAATTCCAATATTGTTGAAGAAATAAACATGCCTAGTAAATTTATATCTTATCTCAGATAATTTACTTGACTAGCACTTTATTTATTTTGAAAATATGAAATCTCTTCTGAAATTTATAAAATTACAATAGATGAAGAGAATCCGCACGGAAAGCGAGAAAGCTTTGAAAACAAGAACGATGTTTATATCATTGAAAAACTTATCCGACTATTTTTACTTTCGTATAAGAAAAATTATAATGTTTGCTAATTATCAAAAGGATTTTACTGTGGCAACAAATTATATAAAAATAATATTAGGATTAGAGTTCAGCTAGAAATTCCATTTGTTTCTTTGTATTTTTCGTTTTTTTGTGTCGGGTTGATCACAAACTTGCGCTTGTGATTAGGGAAGCTAACGAATTCGACTTAAATCGATCAACTCTAAAAAAAATGTTGACTTAAAAATGAAAGTCGACTTTTCTTAATTTCTCTATATGATATGAATGATTATTAAAATTTCTACCTGTTTTTTCATCATTATCAGTTTATTGTCAATTTAGCAAGAAATCAATTGTTTCAAGCGAGTTTGTAGTTTCTTGTGAACAATTATTTTCAATTATAGGAGTTATTATTAGTAAAGCAAGAAATAGATTAATAAATAATATTGCTCGCTAATAATACAAGTATTTTTGTTTTGACGAATTAACGAAACCTATGACGATTGATAAATCCTATAATTATCGTTTTTTTTGTACAATACATAAGTCGGTTCGGTATTAAGTTGAAACTGATAATACCTGAACTTCTCAACATTGTTATATTTGATGAAACCTTTTGTTAGCGTTAGCGTTGGTGGCGATTTTTTTATTGTTACACGTACAGTTAAACGTAAATTTTTGACCAAAATTATACAAATCATGTAGATCATTTTGCCAAATTTCTTCAAAAGTAATGAATTTGTAAAAATTTAAATTTTAATTCTATTTTATTACATATATAGTAATTATTTTGGATACGAAATCGTTATAGGTTCGTCTGACGAATGGTTTCGTCAGATAATCCGTTATCGTGGAAATAGTTTACGTCAAGTATTTATGATAAACATTATATTCTTATTTTTGTATTATTATTCACTCCTCATTGTCGAATTCCAGGATATAAATATTGATGGTTCATGTGATCGAATTTTTAGTCAACTTTAAATCCTGAGTTAGTAAAAGTCGAATCGTTTGAAACCGAGCACACGCATATACATTCACAAGAAATTTGTCTTGACAATATCATCAAGAATTTTACAATGACTTAAATAAAAATTTCGCAACGAAAAATATAATTTGTTTTTATCTAATTAATAATAACTACCATGTATAGTAAATTGCGATAATTTTAATTTTTTTGAAAATTTCAAGCTTTTAAGCCAAATTAACGTAAATTTTCTATCTTCAGAGTTATAAAGCTCTTTATTATGATCGGTGACTTACAATCTACCTCAAATTGCATTACAATTAATAGAGTTCTGATTTGTCGATCTCAATTCACGTGGTTAACGTTAAAGTTCTATAGGCCGTTTATGCCGAAAAGAAAGAAGTTTCTAATTGATAATATTTCTCGGCGGATAAACGAATTAAGTGACATTTTTCATACTTGTGATTTAAACTACACAGTAGTCACATGTTTAAATATAGATGATTCAATATACGAACATTGTATCAGAACTTAAACAGAAGTGAATATCTATCAATTCTATTTACACAATAGGAAACATAAGTAATTACATCACCATAGATCATTCTTTATTATGCAGTTACATTATCAATCCTAATTCTAATACATGGTATAATCTTAATTAGCCTTTATTAAGGATAAAACACGTTGTTTTATACGTCGAACCAAATTTTCAGCAAGTTCATTTGGAAGACTTCTACATTCTTCTTTTAATGCTATAGAGGAAGGTAAAACAGAGATATTGCACATAAATTTGGCATCAAGATTTCTTTGAAAAAAATATTAGCTCACCAAATTCTGAAGCTGAAAAATACAGTACCACATATTCAATTTAAGTGGGTACTTCACACTTCGAAATACGATTCTTTTTGGCCAATTTTTGGTACGTCAGAGAAATTTGGCTTCTTCATTCAAAAGTCACTGAGGTTTTACTACAACTTACAATCTTTGATATAGGACCATAAGCCAGTCTTGTTGATGATTGATGTAAGAAATGCAATTTCACAGCATTTATGAATAGAAGAATCATGTTTCACGGCAAACTTTGAGATGATGATGGATTAACTAATGGGTGCCCTTTGTTATATCATTTGGAAGACATGTTTTGGTTAACAAAGTATTCAGGGTTGATTGGAACTATTTGGTCTCACCAAGAACTTTCGCATTGAATGTTTTGTCGGCATTATAAAACATTTGTCCGATATCTATACCATATGACACAAAAAATTGTTATTTTTGCTGTATAAACATATTTTATAATCTCTTAAAAGTGAGTTTAAAGGGGAAACCAATCAAATCGCAAGATCAATGTGTAACAAATCAAACCATTTATTTTTGGAAAAAACAACTTGTATCTCTATAAACCTACTTCTAACAATTCTTACTATCATCTACTCATGATCGAATGCTATTTATTATCTTCCGATCTGATTGGTTTACCCCTTAAAAAATCGCATGATCGACATGTTTTTTCACTATGACTAGGTAATTAAATTTCTTTTGTAATACCTGTGCCAGATTTGTCCAATCAACGCCAGGAGGAAACACCGGCTTTTAAATTTAACGTTAATTGCATGCATATTTCATACTTCGGATCTTGATCTACGTAGATTTTAGCGATTGAATGAAATGAATTCAATTATTTTTAATTGGATTGGATCCCACCATTAGTGATACAATAGTGAGAAGAATATCTCCGCCGTTTAAAAAACTATTCATTTGACAGAATAAACTGAAATATGGAATATCATCAAAGAATGACTCAAATATTCTAACTTGTTTAAATGTAAACCATCTTTTTTACCTCAGAATTTCTGCAAGATCATTAGATTGGTCAGATTTTACACACAATTTATGTACAGGATTTCTAGAATCTAACAAAACAAAAAATTACTTAAAAATGAATCATAAAGAAGTTGTTCCAACATGGATTTCATAATCTTCAAGAGAGTTAATTAATTCATTATAACTACAAGGTCATAATTTATTAATCAAGAATTAGCATCATCAATGATCACAAGTACTATTTTAATAATGAAGTTGAACAAGTATAAAGATATAGTGAAATTGAATTTATTTAATTCGTTCAGTTTTATACATTATATCAGCTCTAATGGCGTATTTTCTTCCTTCAATTACTATTGATGCTTCGTGTAGCAAATTGTGCTGAAATACTAAAACCATTCCAGTTTTTGGAACAACTTTAACTTTAACCCTGCTCAAAGAATATGACAAAAAACTAGTTTCACCGCCAACGAATCCCTCATTCAAATACAACTGGAAAGTGATACAGCTTTTTTCGCTGCCATCTGGACGAACATATGTTCCATCACAATGAGCTTCAAATTTTTGACCTGGATCGTATCGCAAAAATCGCAATCTTTCACTGAGTCCGACTACAGGTCTATCATACCAAACAGCAGGAACAAATTGTTCGATTCGCTTCCAAAGAACATTAGTTATCACTGGATCGTCTCGAATGTGACTGTAATTATTTCTTACATTAGTTATAAGCCTTTGTCGTCCACTGCCCACGTTTACTAAGGCGATCTCATATCCACCAGCTTCGGAAAGATCGATTAAAGATTGACATTCTTCTGGAGTGCATACGTTTTCAATTGTTAGTGCTAATGGATCTCGTTCGCTCAGAAGGCTCAAATCGACTGGTTTTGCAGCAAGCGGATATGTTGGAGAATTTTTCAATAAAATTTCTGCCATCTGTTGGTTTTTCTTTGGGATTCAGGTTAGTTCATTTTTATATACTGTTTCATATATGTACATGCATGTTGATCACTATTTTTGACCAGTTTGTTAAACATGTCACAATTTGGCGTGGCGCAATCAAAGTTTCTAGATTTGAGCAGAATATGTTAAGATATGCAGAGCGAACAAATAAAACTCGCTTTTTCTAGAACTAAAACAATAACGATAAAAATGTTCATGTGAAATTGATCCTAAGTAGCTTTAATTTTTTTTTATACAAGAATCTTATATATGAAAAGAATTTGAAGTTTGTTTTCATATTTAAGCTTGACATAATGGAAAAAAAATCGGTATATCAACAAGTGTACTGTCCCGTCTGCTTCTTCGCACACACCGGAAAAATTAATTTTAACCATGAATTATATCGTCATGTTTTTTAGTTTGTGTTGTCATTTTATTCATGCAAAATGTTGTCATCATGCAGAACTAAGAGATCGTCATGAAAAATTAGTCTGAGATTTTCCCTCATTCGAAGAAAATTCTAGCATAGTCTAGTTCTGCCCAGACTGATGTTCATCGAAGTATCTAAATCTAGAAATCACTTGAATTTCCATATTTGTAACACGTTGCTCGTCTATATAATGATGTCGTGGAAAATGTAGCGATAAACAAAAAGTAATTCTCTTGATAAAGAAAAAATCAAAGTATAAAAATTAATTCAGTATGTTTGCATACTATCCACCACTTCATAACAACTACATCTATACTCCTTATCAACCGCGATTCTATAACCCGATACCGCGTCATCGCAATGAATCATATTACGCTCCTACAACACCTATGTACAATATAATTGCGGATCCATACGAACAACGACGACGAGCACAGGAGGCAGTTCAGCAGAAACAACGCCGTCGCGAACGAGAAAATCAAGCTCGTCAACACGCATATAGACAGTGGGCTCACGAACAAGAAGCAAAACGTGATGCAATGAAAAAAGCATTTGAACGACATTCATATCCAAATGACAATGACATAAATCTTAACAAGTTCGTTCCTCCCACTAGTCCGCGAATAAGGAGGATTCCAATTCAATCTGGTAGTAGCAACGGCAATCGATATACGCGAAAAGAAGCTGCAAAACGCATAGTAAGATTTATTCGTCATCATCGAGCCAATTCGATTACTCGTCACATTTTGCGTAAACTTCGTGAACTTAGAATAATTGAGCAACAATTAGGTAATCTAGATAAACAATCAATCTCTTCATTGACATTATCCTTCGATGATGAACATGGAAAGCAAGTTTTGCCAAATACTCCAGACAACAAAAGGTTTATTGGGTACGAAGAAGCCATTCTAAAGATCTTAGATCAATTAGATCGCATTGACAGTAATGGATTGGAAGTTATACGAGAAAGGAGAAAACATATTGTTATGATTGCTCAAAAGATGTTGGGTGAGTTGGATTTAATAAAGAACGAACAATGGTCCAGGTTTAATAAAAAGGACAATAAGGAAATAGATGGAAATTTCCTGAAATGCGAAGAAAAATCTTCGTCGGTAGACAATGAGGATATCGAAAATCTTTCACCAACACAAAATATTCAAAATAAAATCGAGCGGTAAGAAATTATTGCACCACACACAATAGCAAAATCTACCGATGACATAATTGAGGAGACCAGATCCGAATCGCAAACAGAACTTAAAGAACTATCTTTAAATGATCACGAATCTAATGATCAAAATGAAGATACCCTAACGATAAAACCCAACATTGAAACGAAAACTTCAATCGACACAAAATCTGACACAACGGGAGTCGAAAATGAAGTACCGTTCTCAGAGTCGATGGAAACTGTAACCGAAAAAGTAAAAGAAGTATCGTTAGAGAATAACGTTAATAATAGTATTGTAGATAAACCTAATTTATAGTTTTGTAATAACGATAAAGTAATAAAGATATTTATTAAAATAATAATTGTACGTACAGTATATACATGTACTTAAATTTGTTTAAATCTTATCTTTATGAGCGTAAGCTCAATAAAGATTGTAGTTTTTTTTACCTATATAAACCACTGAGAATACTGTATGAGTTAATAAAAGCTACTTAATATCCAATACCTGTTTTCTAAGAAATATGTTTTTAATCATTAGTTAATTAAAAAAGTAAAATAAAAATTTACTCTCATTAGGAAATTAAAATTGAATAATTGCATTTTCAGAATTACAGTTTTTTAGACTATCTTAAAACAGATGGAGGAATCAAACAGTTTCTTAAATTAGAACAGCAGAACTACCTAGCAAAGTTAAGAAGAATCGATTCATATAAATATGAACCATAAACAAATCCACTTAAATACAATTTACACGAGTCGAAAGTTCTTACGATTTCAATTCAAACTTCAAATGGTACAGTAATTTCCAATATCTATTATTACATATTAATTTCAGAATTGTGTTATCTACGCGTATTTCCGAAATCGCCTTCATTCACATTCTATGCCTATTACCATAGCAATATCAATATTATCTCGTTATAAATTAATCAGTTGAAATTTGTAGTAGATATAAAAATTCGTTTATATTCGTAGTGCTTTATACTGTCTGTTTTTCTAATCAATACCACTATTTAATAATTTATTTTTTCGTAATAAATATCATGCAGTCTGAAAACTTGGTTTTTATCACGTAATTCCATTCCATTTTTGACAAATTAAACAATTCTAGTAATAACGATAATTCTTTCGACAACTAAACACATTTATTACAATAATAAGCATTATGTTCTATTTTTAAGTTCATTTCATAAAACTTTTAGTGATTATGTGCTGTAGTGGATGTTGAAAATATAAAGATTCACATGATACATTGTGGGACAACAAAAAACCAGAATTACTATTTTTGCTTATATCCAATGAATATTTATTTGAATCATAAAATTTCAAATATATATGCTTGATAACCTAGTGAACAAGTTTACTTGAGAGCATTTAATAGCTTATCTTAATAAAATTTTTTATAATTAAAATTTTTTTTATTAAAAAAGATTGATTGTAAAAAAATTAAACCCCTTTTTTAATCTTTTTTTATTTGTTATTCAATAAATATTTGTTTAAATCATACAAAATTTTAAATATATATGCTTGAAATAATAATAAAATTTAATTATAAATATAAATTATAAAAAATTTTAATAAGATAAGTATTCAAGTAGTCTTAAGTAAAGTTATTTATCATGCTTACAAGTATATATATTTAAATTTTTATATTATTTAAATAAATATTTATAAAAAAAATTAAGAATTATGATTTTTTTTATCCCATATTATATGGAATTGATATTCTAATTATAATACAAATAATTATAGTAAATGAAATAAGATTATGTTAAAATTCTTATTGAAAAGAATGAAAATATATTTAATATAAGAAAAAGTATATTTATTATACTACATAATAATAAAGTTAAATAATTTAATAAAATAAATATATTAATAATATAATATATTAAAGATAAAAGAATATATAAAATTCAAATCTTTGGTCATTTTTTGTTTATATAAACAAAAAATAACTATAATAACTCAGGTATGACAAGTAATTTGTATTTATCTTATCATTTAAATGACATATATTTTATATTTGCCTTATCAAAGATTAAATATTTATAATTTACTCATCAGATAACATATAGATTGCATTTATATTATCATCTGATCCATAATCTATTAGATATCTGAGTGATGATTATAACTAATTTTTCTTATCAAATTATATATGATATAATTTATATCAGAATAATAATTCTAACTGATTTTAAATTTAAAATATATTCTAAAATAAATTATATTACTTTCATATAATCCTTTTTTAGAATATATTTTAAATTTAAAATCAATAATAATTATGTATTAGTTTAGTATTTCAAATTAATTTTTATTATAAAGAAATATCTAATTTAAGTTATATTATTTATATATAATCCTTCTTTATTATTTTTAAAAATTCAAATTTAGTAGTATTATTTATATTTTAGTTAATTTATTATAACTAATTTTTGATATTATCTAAATATGTTATATATATACTATCTGATTATACTATATATATAATATTTAGATATATTAGTAAAATATTATATTATATAATTACTATTAATTATTTAAGTTATATTATCTATATATAATTCTTTTTTATTACTTTTAAAAATTCAAATTTAATAGTATTATTTATATTTTAGTTAATTTATTATAATTAATTTTTGATATTATCTGAATATGTTATATATATATACTATCTGATTATACTATATATATAATATTTAGATATACTAATAAAATATTATATTATATAATTACTATTAATTAATATTATTAGATATATTATATATATACTATTTGATTATATTATATATATAATATCTAATTATACTATATATATAATATTTAATTATATTATTAATTAATACTATTAAATATATATATTAAGTATATTATATAAATACTATTATATAATTATTATCAAAAAATATTATTCAATTATATTATCAAAAATATTATTAAAATATAATTACTTATATTTACTATTCTAAAATATATTTAAAATAGATCTGTCTATATTTAAGAAAAAAATTTTATTCAAATTCTATTTAGATGAAAATATATTAACTTAAATAAATGATATTATGAAAGAAAAAGATTTAATTTTATTTTAACTTATTTTTTTATAATTATTATAATTTTATCTAAGTTATTTAGATAAAAAATAGAATTCCAGAAAAAAAATAAAACTTCTTTCTATAGTATATAATATATATTTTATATATATAGATAAAAAATGTATCAATTTTGATTAGATTATCTTTCTTTTAGATTCTTTTAGTTTAAATCTTTATTTTATATTATTTATATTACAAATTAACTTTAAATTATATTTTTAAAAAGATTAATTTTATATTGAATATACAAATAATTATTATATATTTAATATATTAGATTTAGTATATTGTCATGCAGATAATTACTATATATATCTATATTACTAATTTAGATAACTAATATTTTTAATTAATTATTTCTTTTAATAATTCTTTATTTTCTTACTTATTCTTATTTATTATTATTTATATTATTATTTATTATATTATTAATTATTAAATTATAATTAATTACTTTCTGAAGATGTGAATTAAGTTAATTAATTCTATTCAATCCATATATATTTTAATTATAAATTATTATTAATTTATTTGTATTTTATATTCATTTCTTTTATTATAAATATAATCTATCTGTTCTATAAATTAACTTTAGATCTGAATACTTTTAAATAATAAAAATAATTATAAGTCAAAAAATTAAAACTATTTATATTACATTTTATCTTGTTTACAATCATTAACAAAATAATCTTATAACTTAATAATAATAAATATGATTATTACAAAGATCACTCTCTAATATCTTACTATAAATTATACTTTATATACTGAACATACATATATTTTAGTTTTAATAAAATAATATTGTCAAGATGAACTCAGAATAATTCATATAATTTATAAAGAATATAACTGAATTAATCAAGACTGTAAAAGAAGATAATTTCTCTAATTCTAAGTTATTATCTCATTTTTTAATAAAATTACTTATTTATTCTAAAGAACTAAATAAAAATAAACTTGTTTAGATAATACAAGTTAAAATAATATTTCAGGTTCAAGGAATTACAGATAAGAAAACTCAGATATAGTAATATCTTAATAAAATAAAGATAGATGATAATATTTTACCTTTTAAAAATTGGCAAGCTTTTATTATAGTATTAAGAGAAGTTTTTCAATTATCACATTATCAATAACATTTTTACAAATAACTTTTAAAAGTTTCTCATGATTATCTTCCAAATAAGCAAATTCAATATTATTATTATATTGTATAGTAGTTATAGTATTATTATTATTCTCAATGTTATTAATCTTGGCTTTTCCTTTAGAATGATAATTCTTGGTAAAATGATCTGGTTTGCTATAGTTATAATAATTATAACTATTATTACTTTTAGATCATCATTATCAGTACCATAATTATTACTAAGAGCAGTAGTAAGTTATTACTATTATTGGACAAGTTTAGTAAAACCAGCAAGAAGTTATTGGAATTGTTCATTTGAAAGATCAGGACCAGATATTATGTATATATATGTGTGTATTGAGTATAGATGAGAAAGTGTATAGGAAAAAAAAAGTTAATATTAAGTATGTATGTATGCATGTATATATATAGTATTAATCTTTTCTATTGCTATCAAAGTTATAACCTTCTAGTTATATAGTGTAATATATCCAGATAATTCATATAGAAAAGTCAGAATATAGTATTATATCAGGAAAATTTACACAGAAAATTCAAAATATAAAGTGATATTATTGAAATAGAATTCATATAGAAAACTAAATCAAAAGTAGACAAGTGATTATGTTTAAACTTATATCTTTATTAATGGTACTTGATACTTAAAATTACAGAACAGATACAGTATCTTTAAATAATAAATTAATATTATATAAAATTTATAATAAGATAAATAAATTAATAATAAATAATACTTATATGGTAATATCTCCAGAAGATATTTATTAAGAAATAAATAAAGAAATAAATAATTATAAATGAAAAATATAAAATGAGTAACTTACTAGCTATATTAATAGAACAAGAAAAAAAAGAAATTCTATTAAGAAACTATCTATAGCTAAAATAACTCAAATAAATCAGATGATTTTTCTTGGCATGATTAGGTGATTATAATATAGTAAGTCATGTATGGTATAGTATATAGTACAGTAACGATCTGTAAAA